GCTTGTGATAATGTGAATAGCTTTTGTCTTCTATGTTTGCATTTCTCTATACACTAGTAGCCGTAATGCCTGATTTGTTTTATGTTTAATTATATTTTTGTTAAAAATGTATGAATTATCTTCCCATTTGTGGTGTTCAGGTAGAATAATATTTACTGAGCATCAAATCCTATGCAAGTTGTGTGATCTTGGTTAAGTGATTTGATCTCAGTGGTCTTAACTGGCTCTCACCCTTCTACCTTCATTGCTTAATTAGAAAATATTTTTCTATATTCTTGGGATTTGGGGTTAATGGGGACAGGAGGAGGATAGATGGAGCTAGAATACCCTGGCAAAGTTAGGGCACGGCCCACTGCAACCACCCCTACCCTTCACCACCTAGCCCAGCTGTACTTTTATTCATTTTATCCATTTTATCTGTAGAGACTTCTCAACCTAATGTCTTTCCTCGCACACTTTTATTCCTTTTTAAATTTCTACCCTGATTCTTTTGTCTTAGATTCAAAGAATGACTTTCTTATTACCAAAGTTATATTGGATATTGGTAGAATATTGCACCAGGGCAAAGTGGGAAGATCATAGAGGCTAAAAAGAGATAAAAGGAAGGGTAAAAAAAGAGATATGTAGTATAATTAAAAAAAGAAATGTGTTGAGAAAGGAGATAGTGAAATAAGGAAAAGAAATGAAGAAAACATTTAAATATAACAAAGAAATCGTATATTTGTTTTCTGAATTTGTTACTTGTTTAACTTACATAAAAATCCCTGAAGAATTTATTTCAGTGGCCTGGGAATTTTTTTATGTTGATGGTTTAAAATGTGTTTCTTGAATAGTTTTCTTCTGTCATTGCCCCAAGAGTGTTTTTTTTTTCTTCTTCTTCTTCTTTTTAGTATTACTTTTCTTGTAAGTTGATTAGGGTTGAGTAAAATAAGTTTTCATGTTAAAAATTTCTATTTGTTAAATGAACCAAAAGTAGATTCATTCTCTATTTATTTATTGTCTTAATGTTTGAGGAACACCAAGGACATAGTCTATTTTCCAAGTAGAAATTAAATAAAAACTGTATTGAGTCATGCATACTTACCTGAGTTTTGTAATTTTAATTTTTATTTTTTAAGGAGCCGATGCTACACACATGGATGGTGATCAAATTGTTGTGGAAGTACAGGAAACGGTTTTTGTTTCTAATATTGTAGATTCAGATGTAACTGTGCATAACTTTGTTCCTGATGACCCAGACTCAGTTGTAATCCAAGATGTTATTGAAGATGTTGTCATAGAAGATGTTCAATGCTCAGATATCTTAGAAGAAGCAGATGTATCTGAAAATGTCATCATTCCTGAGCAAATGCTGGACTCAGATGTAACTGAAGAAGTTTCTTTAGCACATTGCACCGTCCCAGATGATGTTTTAGCTTCTGACATTACTTCATCCTCAGTGTCTATGCCAGAACATGTTTTAACAAGTGAATCCATGCATGTGTGTGACATTGGACATGTTGAACATGTGGTACATGATAATGTAGTGGAAGCAGAAATTATTGCTGATCCTCTGACCAGTGACATAGTTTCAGAAGAAGTATTGGTAGCAGACTGTGCCCCTGAAGCAATCATAGATGCCAGTGGAATTTCAGTGGACCAGCGAGATGATGACAAAGGCAACTGTGAGGACTACCTAATGATTTCGTGTAAGTCATGGGGTATAATATCTTTAGCAATGTTTTTGAAACATGTATTTTCTAACATAATGGTGAAATTTTATTGACTTAAACTTCTATAAAATTAAAATAGAAATCATAAACCTACATGCATTTTTACTTAGTTTGAATCCCAGAGGATAAACCATAATTAAGTGACATGGTACAGAATAAAGAGTTATTTCTATCTTAGGATGGAATAGAAAGATGAGAAAATAAGGGATGAAAATAACAGATTTGAGTCTTATGAAATCATAAAAAGTATGATTGTTCTGTTACTCACCTTTAGATTTGCCGCTGAGACTTGGAGTTCATTTTTTTTTTAAGTGTTTTTATCATTTCACTTCCCTCTTTTTTCTACCTTATTGTCCTTTTTCAAAATAATGATTTTTTGTTGTTGTTTAATTCATTATTGGCTTTGGAGTTAAATCCAGTGAATTCCTTGAAATACAGTGGTCATGCATCAAGATCGTAAACAACTAATTTATTCATGTTTCAAATTGATTTCAAATTTTATATCATACTGGTTTTGTGTTCTGCTGTCTGATCCTTCTGGGATGCTGGCTTTCTTGATTGTAGCTTTGTCATCCAGAACATGATTGGACATACCTTTGTTTATGCAGTAGATGCTGTAGTCATTCTGTTTCTAGAATCCCTGACTTTGTGTCTCTAATATTTTTAACTTCAGTATCTAGGTATATTTTTTGCATTAGTATGGTTATAAGTTACGGAATCATTGTATCATTTACCTGCTGACTTAAATAATTTAGTTATCCTAATTTACAAGTTCACTACTAGGGTCTTTGGAATGAAATTTTATAGTGTAGATTTAGTTTAGAGCACTCCCATTAACATTAAATACCACCCACACTCCTCCTCCGGTGTCTTTTAGCATAGCACAGCAAAAGAGTTGTACAGGCATTTTCATGAGTGCAGGGAGAGTAGGATTTACCTCTTATATGATCTAGTATACCATTACGGACTAGTTTTCTGATCATGATAATTTTCTACCTCTGTCTGAGCCTGCTTAATAATTTTCAAGAGCCGGGCCAGGCACAGTGGCTCACACTTGTAATCCTAGTGCTTTGGGAGGCTGAGATGGGTGAATCATGAGGTCAGGAGATCAAGACCATCCTGGCTAACACTGTGAAAACCCCATCTCTACTAAAAATACAAAAATTTAGCTGGGCATGGTGGCATGTGCCTATAATCCCAGTTACTTGGGAGGCTGATGCAGGAGACTTCCTTGAAATCAGGAGGCAGATGTTGCAGTGAGCTGAGATTGCGCCACTGCACCCCAGTCTGAGTGACAGAGCAAGACTGTCTCAAAATTATAATAATAATAATTTTCAAGAGCCTGATTCAGGTGATTTAATAAACATTTATTTCTCTTTGTAAAAACTATGTGTTTAAATATTTAATATTAATAATTTACAGCTTTTGACCTTGAGTTTATAATCTGATGTGCAAGAAAAAAGGGGAGTTAAGGTGGTATTTAGCTCTTTGAAAATGTAATAAGTATTTTTATATGCTGAATTTATCTAGCTATTTCAATTTTTTTTTCTAGCTCTTGTTTCTTCCAGAAAAGATGATTATCTCCTCTAATGCTACATGTGTATTGAAAAATCCTATGGGGTAGGGATACAGAAACATTTGGAGTTGACAGGTTTTTATAAAGTGTATAGGGGAAGTGTGGTTTGATTTTGTATTAACATAGAGAAGACTGAGATGCTGTAATTGACAGTAAGCTTTAATGCTTTCCATAATATCATAAGAGATTAGTTATTTAGTACATAGATTGAAGGATGTAAAACAGTATTTAAGAACACTTTACAATTAAAAATATGTTATTGGATCTAAGAACCTATTTATTTTTACGTCTTTAGTGGCAGGTATTTCTCTTCTGAAAATCTCATTTAAAATGATGACAGAGTCCTCTATAGTGTTATGTAGTATATCTGCACAATAGTGCTCATTGTTATAAGTACCATTGAGATCAATGTGACCTCTTTATACGTTCTTTACAATGTCCATGTTACCATTAGCTTTTAAGTTGATTATATCTTAAGGACAGGTCTCTCTCAAACTTGTGTGTATTTGTTGTAAAATATTTGTTGAGAGAACATTTACGTGAACTTTATAGTTGAACATTTGTGGATATCATGTCTCATCCAAAGACCATCTAGTTTAGTTGTTTTAGCAATCCATCTGGTGTTTCTAATAAATTATGACTTTGGTCATAGTGAACATTCAGTAAAAATGTTTTTCAGTGAATAAATGAATAAATGAAGCCCAAGCCTTATACCTAAAGCAGCAAAACTATGGATCAATACAATTCGATGATCTGTTTAATGATTCTAGTTGCTATTAGAGCAGGATAGGACTGGAAAAATATTTGTTTGCTGTACTTATTTTATATTTTTGGTATATTTATATACATTGCATATATTGTATTCTTCTGTTCTATGACTACTTACTGGATATATATGTATCTTACATTTTAATCTACCTACTACTTTTGCTTTGTTTTATAAAACCATTTGGCAAAACAGTATCAAATGCTAGAATTTTTAAAATGTATGTCTACAAGGAATGATTTCTGAAAAGTGTAAAAAAATACTTTAAGGAGATTTTTTCTTTTAAGTTTTGATAAACTTTTGAAACAGTTTTTTTTCATAAGACTAAACCTAAATGACTTTTATGTAGGAACTCTCAAATATATTCAGAAAACTTTAAGGCAATGTGCACTTTTTCAGAGGAGATAAGGTAACTAAAGAAGACAGAACTTCTGACTGTTGGAATTTAGGAAAGAAGCTGAAGGGAGAAATAATATTTTCAAGGTAAAAGACATTATAGAAGCAGCAATAAAATAAATCTGGATAAACATGACGAGACCTTCTGATTGGGCTTTAGAAAATTGCCAAATGAAATGGTGAAAAAAACAGACATAAAAATGATTATGGACAAGATCAGGAGACATGAGAAACAGAAGACAAAACTTACATGCAGAAAATAAGAAAACAGTTAATGTGACAGAAAATTATGGGAGAAACCTTTCCTGAAATTAAGAATGATTAGAGTACATTAATGAAAATGGCAGGGTAAAGAACACTGAAAAATCTTTTATAAAAATACTGAGTACCGTGGTTTAAAAATATGATCAGAATAACATTTTGAGCCTTCTGAAAACTAAATGATTGTAGCAATAGAGAGAATTCTGGATATTAGCAAGAACAGTGAGGATGGTGACCTTTTATTTTGCTCTGTTTATATCCACTCCTCCCAAGCTGTATGTGTTAGCCTTAAAAAACCAACATCTGACAAATATTAAAAAAAACAAGCAGTCAGGGAAGATATAGTGGCTCATGCCTGTAATCCTAGTGCTTTGGGAGGCTTAATCAGGAGAATCATTTGGGGCCAGAAGTTTGAGACCATCTGGTCAAAAGAGTGAGACCCTGTCTCTACAAAAAATTAAATTATCCGAGCAGGTGGCATACATCTGTAGTCCCAGCTACTTGAGGCTGAAGTGGGAGGATCCTTTGAGCTCAGGAGATCAAGATTGCAGTGACATATGATTATGCCACTGCACTTCAACCTGGGTTACAGAGCAATACCCT